GATAAAAAAATACTAATAATAATAATAATAATACTTTTGGTAATTTGTATTTAATTTATTTTTTCATTATTTAATGTGATGTGATTTGTTTATAGCCTCATTCCCTCTGTAATATGATAAATGAATACAAAAAAGAGCCGGGCACATTCAAATATAAAACTCTGGATCCGCCTATGGCAACTACTACATCACAATGTGGCAATTCTATTTTTATACCTGTTTTCCTCAAAACGTTCGTAAGAACAAAAGGAGAAGAACCGCCAACTCCGATACCTAAAGAATTGTGTGTCAGATAAGAAGTGCAATATTTTGGAGCGTGTCGATTTTCAATATTAAAACAATTTTTATGGTCGAACTTCGATCAATAGACGATACCTACTAGTTGTTATGAATATTATGTAAATACAATTTTAATAATTCTTCATTTTAATCTGTTTGAAAAATATTAGATTAGTATTATTATATAATATGTAATTAACATATTAATACAATTAAAATGTACAAAATTATAATATTATTATGTTACGTTCCTCCCTACCGCGAACTTTACATGACCGAAWTGRGGAAATGATTATGGGTAATTTATAATATTGTCCTGTACCTATAATCACCAGTCCAACATAATAACTTTATTAATTATTATTATTATTATTATTATTACCGTGATCATAATCTATAAATGTTCTCCGTGACGCCGTCATATCCATAGGCGTAAATTTGGCTTGCTAGAAGGGGGGGCTAACGCTAAGATTATAATTTATAATTTATAACATTAGAAATTTTTAACAAGGCTATACTATTTTTTAAGGGGGCTAAGCCCCGCTAAGCCCCCCAATTTACGCCTATGGTCATATCACTTATTGAGCAAAAGATGGGCYATCGGTATCATAATGTCCAAATTTTTACATTTTCCGTCCATGTCACGTTAGACATGTGTATTGGACCCGTTTCACATGGTCATGATTTATACGCATGTTTTACAGAGGTGTATGTATTGGTTAACATTGGTTAATACGCCGTGTCCAACGTGAATCCGGCGAGTGCGAAAGATTGTATTTCGCCTCGGCGGAACAGCATGGTCAGAATTATAAAATTCGGTCGCACGCGCTGCACTCGCCGAATTCACGTAGGACAGGCGCAACTTTAAGCACCTCTCCGGCGATGACGTGTTTCTTTCTTCGTAGCGGTGCGTATGAGTTTAACCAACGTAAACGGATACTAAACTCATCCACGTTAAAATGGCCTTGATAATTCCCATCGTTTAATCGCAAATGCGACTCCTACTTCAACTTCTTATGATAATTAATGCGATGAATATTTTCAGATCTTAATGTTCAAACTTTTAGGCTATCTTATGAACGTCAAACTTTATTATATATTTATAAAGTTAAAACCTAAATTATTGATTATCAACCATTGCACGCTTATTACACAAAATGTAAAAATAATAATTACCTATTTTTCCCCTTGAATAKAACACGTTTTGGTAATCAAAACCCTATTATTAAAGATGTCTAATTATTACGTAAACATAACATCAACATTTTTTTCTTTTATTAATTTTGTTCAATAAAAAAATCATGTTATTAGTGTTCTATCTTAGATATTTTTGATTCTCCATTTTTATTTTATATTATTTTTATGTGTAATTAGATAATAATTGTTAAATTGTTTATATATTAAGCTATATTTTTTGTTATAATTTAAACTCAATTGAACTCATCTGCATTCAAGCTTTCGCTTATAGGATGATAGTTGCAACTTTAGTAATTTTATATACGTATAAATCTTGTTAAAATTGTTTTTGCTACAATAAACTATTACTATTATTATTATYATTATTTATAAATTGATAAATACTAAAATACTTGTATATTACGCAGCATCAATGATATATCATACATTATACATATATACATTTGTACATATAAGTACATTTTTATTTTTATAACAATAACGCAACAGTATTCAATTGCATTATTATATATCAGTATTATATTATATAGGTACTTATATMCGAAGAAAGACGTAATTTAAAATATAATACTTTGTAATTTTCACAATAATTTCTTTGAATATCAAGAGAAACATTGCTAAATAGACGCTAAATGATAGAACAGAATTAATTTAACATAATTATATTATTAATTATAAAATTTAAAAGAAAAAATGCTTATAGTCTCAATTGGTATACATATATGTTATAGCTTGGTAATATTGATTACTCTTAGAATATAACATGCAATACAGACACGCAGTAGTT